CGCCAGGGACAGGCGACGGGCCCCTTTCGCCCCAAGCTGGAGGGCACAGCCAGGAGCTCGCTAGCCTCCTTACTGGCATGGCTTGGAGTATTTTTTTCCCCCTCTCGGAAATCTTTTATTTTTAAATGATAATAAATACAGGTGATGAAGAGATAGAAGGAGAGGAACAGATACATCAATGGAGGTAGAAGGGGATGGTGGGGGGAGGGTGAGCGGGAGAAACAAGGGCAAGGTGGAGAAGTCGGAAGTCCCTGTGTCTTTTGACCTTGGCAGTTTTCATTCATTATGCCCTTTGCCCTCTGGCTGGTTTTGTTGAGCCCCCTCCCTTCCCCCCAACAAAATCCAGTGAGGAGGCTTCTAGTGAAAATTAGCATTCATTAAGAGTCTCTCCTAAAGGATCTCTTTTTATGGTATGGAAGCTGGAAAGCATGCATTCATTGGTGTAGTTGCTCGCAGAGAAGGAGGCCTTACCTGGGCCAGGCTCTGTCCTGGGTCCAGGGGCAACATGAGCTCTGGATTCAAAGCCTAGGTCTGTGGTCTCTCCCTGGCCGTGTGACCCCAGGCAGCTCACTTCACCTCTTGGGGCTCAGTCTTCTCATCTGCAAAGTGGGGTTAATGACATTCATGCTGAAGGGCATGTGAGGGTCTACGGGGAACTTCAGATGGACAAGACTTCGTCGGGCAGTGGTCCTGCAATGCCAGCCGTGGCCAGGAGGCCTGGGGAGATGGGTACTTCTAGCAAGCACCGCCCTCTGATCACACTTTGAGAAAATGGTTGGGGGTGTCCAGGGACCAGCAATCCTGCCCAGGTCTCCCCCTTCCCTGTCTAGCCTTCCTGAGAAACCGCCTCCCTAACTTAGTGCACCCAATGCCATGACTGTGGGCCCCACAGGGGCACTGGGACGGGGTGGGTGGGGCTGGGGTCTCTTCTCTTAGAGTCCCTGGGTCCAGTAGGCTCTTGAGGAGTTGAGAGAAGCTCACAGGAGTGGGGGTTGGTTTGAGCTGATTTTGACAAGCCCCCTCCCACTTGTCCTCCTCCAAGGAAGTCGGTGGGGGCAGGGAGATGGGGGTGGGGATTGAACCTGGGACCTAGATTTCCAGAACCTTGGCCACAGGTTGAATGACATCCCTCCAACGTGGATGAAATACCCTTGTGAGCCCGTTTTGCAGTGGGGCAAACCAAGGCTCAAAAAGGTGACACAGTGACCAGATAGTCTCCCGGACCCCAGGGCCCTTGCTCTGTTCTGCCCCCATCCTCCTCCCAGGTGACCACTGCTCCCATCCTGCCTCACTCAAGAACATTCAGAGGAAGGGCGCTGGGAGTTAGCCCCAAGTACTGACCTGGACCCCACAGATGGCCCTCCTCCTGGAATCTGGTGTCCTGAACAGCGTCCAAGATCTTGATGGGACCACCCCGGGGTTATTCAAGTACTCCCTGATGCATGGGTAGGCTCCTTCCCCTCCCCATTCTCCCAGATGGAAACTGTGGGCATGTGAAGGGCAGGTATATACGCTCTGTGTATATGTCGTGCACATGTGTGCACAAGGATATGAGATTTGGGTCTGTGTGTGTCCACAGAGGCTGGGCATGTGGGTTCAAAGCAAGTATGTGGGGGCGCCTGGGTGGCTCAGTCAGTTAAGCGTCTGCCTTTGGCTCAGGTCATGATCCCAGGGTCCTGGGATGGAGCCCTGCATCGGGATCAAGCATGGCATCGGGATCCCTGCTCAGCGGGGAGCCTGCTTCTTCCTCTCCCTCTGCCTGCTGCTCCCCCTGCTTGTGCTCTCTCTCTCGTGCACATTTTTTTTTTTAAAGATTTTATTTATTTATTTGGCAGAGAGAGAGACAACGAGAGAGGGACCACAAGCCCAATGCGGGGCTTGATCCCAGGACCCTGAGATGATGACCTGAGCCGAAGGCAGTCGCTTAACCAACTGACCCACCCAGGCTCCCCTGTGCACATGTTTTTGTATGTGTGAATGTGCAATTGTGTGAGCATATACATGTTTGGTGTGTGTGTGTGTGTGTGTGTAGCTGGATGGGGGGAAGGGAGGGGTAGGGCTACAGTGAGTTCTTACCCCGCAGGTCCACTCAGCTGCCCCCCTTGACACCTCTGGCTCAAGCTTTTTTACCTGGGTAGGTGACTGGGGGTCTGAGCACACCCACAGGAGGGAGTCCTCCCATCTCTTGCAAATCCCCTTCTCCCCCCTCCTCCCTGCCTCTGTGACCCTTTCAAAGGCCTGTCTGCAGGGAGCGAAGGTGAGTCCACTCCCATGAACTTCACTTTCCTAGGTCTCTCTCTGGTGAAAGTTCTCAGTGAGCCCTTCTTGAAAAATTCACATGTGCCCAGCAAATGTTTGGGGGCCTGGCAGAGATGGGGCCCAGAATCTTGCAAATTCTCTCTTGGGTTCTGTGATTCATTACAATCAGGGCACCATTGTGGAGTAGAAGCACAACCCAATACATACATGGGCTTGAATCCCTGCTCTGCCACTCCCCAGCTACGTGACCTTGGGCAAGTCCCTTGACCTCTGTGAGCATCCTAATGGGGCAAATAATACTTACCCTGCTACAAGTCCAAAGATTTAGCTAGGAGGATATTTATTCCAGCATGGTTTAAAGTGATAAAAAAAAAAAAAAAAAAAAGGAAACAGACCCAAATGTCCAATAACAGAACTGGTTAGAAAGAAAACAAAATCCAAAAAAGGATGGGTCACCCATCACCAGCAGGTTTCAGCCTGTCACTGCCGAGGATGACATAACTCTGACTACGATCAATTTATTAATCGGGGAGATATTGCTGAGTGAACCAGAGCAGGTAACCACATGGCATGTAGAGAATGATCTCTAGTTTCAAAATGAAGAAAAAAAGAAAAGTCTGGAAGGAAAGGCATCAAATACATTACCAAGGTGCTTGAGATTCTGGGTGATTACATTTTTTCCCCTTTGTTTATCTGAAATTTCTAAATTTTCCTCAATGAGCAAGGAGCATTCATCTGAGAAAGACAAATGCGTATAAAGGAAAGAAAAGAAAGAGCCAAGCCACCTTGCATTATTCTCACGAGGTCCACATACAAGAGGGACAGATGAGCAGGACTCTTAGAGTATGCCTGTTCCTTGGTGGTCCACGTCTCCTCCTCTCCCTCACCCCCCTCCCCCCACCCTTGCCCAGCTGCTGCTAAAGTGGGCAAGCCCCCCGCCCCCAGCTTGGATGAAAAGGGACATAAGGCAGGACACACTCACATTTATTTTTATCTCCCTTATCTGCTTTTCTATCCCTACAGTGTCCGAGTTGGAAGGGAAGGTAGGAAGCCCTCCCTCCCATCCCCATTTTTGCAAGTAAGGAGACAGGCCTTATCTTCCGGTAGTGGCTCAAGCCTCCCAAATCTCATCTAACACTCTTTCCATCACACTGATTTACCCAATGGTACCAGCATTCCTTCCATTGGAGTTGCAGACTACATCAGCTTTGCCCTCCCTGGGGTCCTTCTGCCCTAATACAGCCTTGCAGATAACTAGAGTCAGCTTACCAGCCCGCCGGAATTACACGAGGCCTCATTAGGAGGGAAGCTAGAGTTCTTCTGACACCCCGGGGACAAACACATCACACAACCATTCGTTGGTCAAATATCTTGAAGACCTACTGTGTGCGGGGTAGGCTTGTGTTAGATGGTGGTCTTTATAGAAAGCACGGGGCCATACTGTGCCCTGCACATAGTGACTGTCAAAAAAAAAAAAATGGCAGTCACTTTCATTTCCTAGTGATTCTCAAAAGCACCCCCCTCCAGGTAGCTTTATACCCATCAAGTCTGTTTTATGAGGGACATGTGAACTAGAGAGAAGAAGGACTCTATTCACTTGGAGGGACTCTGGGGGCAGGCACACACACAAAAGAAAACCACACAGCACTGAGGGAAAAAAGAATTTTTTTTTTTATTAATCTTTCTTCTTTAAAAAAGTTGATTTTTTTTGTTTTTTGCGGTTTTTTTTTTTTTAGGTAAACCTCTTTCCGTCTCCCCTCCCTCACTCTGCCCACCCTCCTCTTAAAAATATAAAAATGTCCAACCCCAGATAACTAGAGTACAATAAATAAACAGTAAACACAAAAACATACTTTATTTGTTTCTTCTTTATACAAAATAAGGAAACTAGAAGCGTTCGACTTCCAAAAAAGTATAATACTGTACATCCTGACGACCCAGCCTCCTGGCCCCGGGCGTGGAGGGTGGTCTGTGGGCCTGAGCCCAGAAATCTTGGCGCCTTGCCCAAGGGGAGAGCAGGGTGGGCAAGTGTTCCAGTCTGGCCTGGACCCCCGGGCTCACAATAAATGTCAAAGGAAGCAAGGGTTGGGGGCGGGGGGGTTGCCTGGCCCGGGGCCCGCGAGGTCCGGACCGCCCCCTTCCTAGAAAGCTGACCTCGATCCTCAAGTATGGCCACCAGGGGGCGCCCGCGCGCAGGCGGCTCCGTCCTCCTCCCGGTGCCACCCCCACTCAAGCGCGCTCCTCTCTCGCTCTCTCTCCATCTTCCCGTGCTCTCTCCGGCTGGCGCTCTCTCCATCTTCTCTCTTCCTCATTCTGCTCCCTTCCCTCGCTCTCCCTTCACTCTCTCTCTTTTTCTTATCATCTCGTTTTAAAGACGGGGAAAGCAGAGTGAGAAATAAGGTTACCCAAATGCCACTCGGATTGCAGAGAGGGGGAAAGTCAGCTCCGCCCCTTGGCCTCAACCCTCTGTTGGTCCGAAGAGGCGGTGGTAGGGGTCGGGGGAAGTCTAGAGCGTGCTTGAAATCTCTCGGCCCTCCGCGGTATCGACTTTGGTCCCAAGCACCGCCTGCGCCGCCGGGGGACTGCTGGCAAGCGGGCCGGGGGAGGGGGGTGGACCCGGGGGCGCCCCCCGCGCGCCCCGCCGAGGAGCCGCGGCCGCTGCGTGCGGACCCGGGAGGGAAGCCCTGAGGGCGGCGTGTCGGTTCGGGCGGCTGCGTCCGGGGCGGCCCGGCCCGGCGGCCTTACCACACGGCGGCCTCGTTGAGCTCGGGGTTGGGGTGCGACAGGGGTCCGCTGTAGCCGCTGGCGCCGCTCATGGGGAAGGGCGGGCTGGGCCCGCCGCTGAACACCTCGCCGGGCAGGGGGTGCAGCGCGCCCGGCAGGCCCGGCTCGGGGCTCGGCGTGTCCGGGTGCGAGATCATGTCGGTGAACCTGGGGTTGTCGGCGGCGTGCGGGCCGGCCAGCGGCGGCTCCAGCGCGCCCAGCGGCGTCGAGCCGGGCCCCGACGCGGCCAGGAAGCTCGAGTCGGCCGGGGACTGCGCCTGCGACGGCGGGCCGTGCGCGAAGAAGTCGTAGTTGCCTCCGGGCGCGTAGTAGTCGCCTTGGTAGTCTGCGGGAGGGGACCAGGAGGACACGGGGAGAGGTCAGAGGCGGCCCGGCCGGGAGGGACGCGGGAACGCGGGAGGGGACCCGGGCGGACCCAGCGGGGGTCGCGCGACACTGACTCCGGCTGGCGAGCCCCGCGGAGACCAAGGGACAGGGCGGCTGGCGGAGGCGGCGGAGGGCGCAGACCCAGAGCCAGTGTCAGGGAGGGAGACCATGAGAGGTGCTCAGAGGCCCAGACACCTACCCGGAGAGATGGCCGGACCAGACGGAGGGACTCAGAGACAGAAACACAGACAGAAAGATGCTGTGACTCCAAAGTCAGAGGTTCCCCGACAGACAGAGATGGAGAGAGACAGTGGCAGCGGACACGCAGACAGTGAAGCATCCTAGACTGTGTCTTAGAATTGGGGCGAGATCCACAGAGAGCCAGAGACATGGAAACAGGCAGAGACAGGGTCAGGGAGAGATCGGCAGAGAACAGAGTGACAGGGGAGTTAAGAGGGGACTCAGCAGGGAGCCCCCGGACTCAGGTCAGAAGAGAGACCCAGATGTGCCAAGCCCAAAGCAGAGAGAGACCAGGGCGATGGTCTAGGACAAGCACAGAGAAAGAGATGAGACCAGCCGTGTGGTTAGAGACACACCGGTAAAAACCGGCGAGAGACCTGGGGCGAGATGAAAGGTCAGGAGAGACAGAGGGGCCCACAGACCCGCCAGATGAGTCAGAGATGCCAGAGATGCCTGGAGTAGAGCTGGGCAGCGATGTTGGGGTGGATAGAGACCAGAGTACCAAATGGTGGGGGGGGGGGCGGCCAACTGGCGGGGAAGAAGCCAGACCTGGACCCCACACCCAAGTAGCAGAGAGGGGCTGGCGAGTTGGGCCGGGGACGTGGCTACAGCACTGGAGCTCGAAAGGGGGATGAGTGCCCTCTCTTTCCCCCGCAGGCACCCCGCGGACCTGGCCGGCCCTTCACCCCCTCAAGTACAGCCCTGCGACCTTCTGGGTGAATGTGGGGGCCCGACCATTTGCACCGGCCTCCCTAGACCTGACTTGAGGGAGGGAGGGCATCTGCCTGATCACGCACATCCAACGTTTCAGGGGCACTTCAGCATGCGTTTGCCAGGACACCCAGGTTCTGAAACATTTGGGGACACTGAGTCCTTTTGAGAATCCGGTAATAGCTATGGGCTCTCTCCAGAAAAATGCACAAATCACATTTTTGCCCGCAAAATCAGGGGGCGCAGGGACTTCAGGTTACAAGCCCACCCATTCTCAATAAACTGTTTCTGCATCAACTCGCTGACCTCCTCCCAGAGTCCCCTCCCCGGGGACCTCTTCCAGGTCGGCCTCGTGAAAGTTTGGGGTGTGGGACCCCAGGAAAGGAGTACCTTGTCGCCGGCACCAGTGACAATAACCCGCTTTGTGCGGCGGGAAAACCAGCGCACCCCCAAGCCGGGTTTCCTCTGCAATACCCCCCACCCCACACTGGGTCTTCGGGTCTCAGTCACTAGGGCGAATTCTGGACGTCCCCTGCCGCCTGCCCCCCTTCTTTCTCCAAACCCTGAAATCATTCCAAATGGGGGTGCCCAGAGGCGCGGCTTGTAAACGGTTTAAGCAACAGCTAAAACGGTCGCCCATTACTTTTTAAAAACCACTCATTCCATTCTCCCCGAAAGTGAAGGGAAAGGTTGGAAGCGGCGAATTTGGGGCCCCTAAGGGACGGGGATGGGGGACGGCCGCGGCCCGCAGCGAGCCGGCAAGCCAGCAAGGGCCGCGGCCCCCGCGCGGATCGCGCCGCCTCCGCCCATATGGCGGCCGGGCCGGAGGTAATTGGAACAAACGCCGTCTGAAAAGGGCACAAAAGCCGCAGCTGGGGCTTTGTCCGCGCTCCCACGGGGAGCCGCCGGCCCCGCCGCCCAGCCCCTTTCTCGCCCGCTGCCGGCCGCCGCCGCCCGGATCTCCCAGCGCGGACTAGGCGGGGCTGCCTCCCTGGGGCTGGGGGGTCCTGCCCCCCCATTCCGGAGAAAGAGGGGCCCGCGTGTCCAGGCCGCCACCCCATCCAGCAGACGCGCGGGTGGAGGAGGCGGCGGGATTGGTGGGGGCACACCAGTCCTCGGGGAAACCTCGCTTAATTACCCAGGCGGGGAGAAATTCCGGAATGCACCGCCCCACCACCTCCCCGCGTCGGGCGGAGATGGTGTGCGGACCGAGGCAAAGATAGGTAGGGAGAGTTCGTGGCTGAAGACCGCCCGACCCGTCCACCATCCGAGCTGCCCTCAGCGTCCGTAGCCCCCAACCTGGGCCATGCCATCGCAGAGTCTCTCCCCCAGAAGCACAGCTGCGCGATTTGCCCACAGTTTCGGGGCCGGGGGGTGGGGGGGGCTGGCCGGACCTGAAGTTCTAACCTCCTAGGTCGACCATGTACTGAATGAAGCCTTCCTTCCTGGGTCTGCTTGGGTGCCGCGCGGCGCCTACCCTACCCGTCGCTGGCCGGCATTGCCTCCAAATGCATGTTTCTAAGAAAAGTCACCTCTCCCCAAACTGGGCCACTAGCCGCCCCCCCCCCCCCCACCGCCCAGGCCTGTGGCACTGAACAACTCAGCAGAGATCAGTCTCAGGCACAGGCACTCCACGGGCTCTCCAAATTCCGAGGCTCAGAAACACAAGGGGGAGGTGTTTTCCTTGAGCCCAAAGGTTGGGGAAGTGCAGGACAGTGAGTGGATTCCCTAGAGCACCTGGGGTCTCAAAAAGCCAGCGTGAGGGAGGTGGGATGGTCGTGGGGGGTTGGAATGGGTCGCCAAGCAAGTACGAGGGAAATGGAAGGGTGAGGGGACAAGGGAGGAAGGAAAAGAGGAGGGAAGGAAGAAAAGGAGTGACAGCGAGGAGAGTTCCCCCAGGCTTGCGCCTGGGAACACCAACAGCAGAATGCCTCTCTGCAAACTCCAGCTCCTTGCCCCTGCAGCCCTAAAGACAGAGAGTGGGTGACTGGGTGGGCCCAACTCTTGCGCCTCCAACCCAATGAACACTGGTGGGCTTGGGGCTGGAGAATGGGCGAGAGTCCTGTCCAGAGCACCTGCCCGCATCCTGGCTCACAGTGCCAGACGCTGAGCGCATAGTCCCCGCGGCGGAACAGGGGGTGCCGACTAGCTAGCAGGTGGCCCGGGATGGATTCTGACCCCTCCACCCCTACTGCCCATGCTGCCCTCCAGTGCCTGTGTTCCTGCTGGTGCCAAGTGTGCCACGCCGCCAAGGGCAAGGGCAGCAAGAAGACTGGGTGTCCGGCTGGGGCAGGATGCATGTGGATTTGCGGTGCTCGCCTTGGTATGATGCTTGGGAGTGTGTGAGCCTGTGAATCTCTTTGGGTATGTTTGTCAGTGAGTGAATCTGGGGAGTGGCATACACCTGTGTGTGTTGTGTGTGATCACGTGCCTAGATGTGTATCCCTGAGGTCTCTGAACTCCAGTATGTGCCAAGGGAGTGGCACCCGTGTGTCCTGCGTGGGTGCGTGTGTTTATCTGTGTGTACCACTGTATGTGTGAATGAACCCATGTGTCTGATTTTGTGTCTGGGAGGTATCTATGGATGAGCATGCGCCCGTCTGTTTTTGTGTGTCGTGTTCATGATTGTGTCTGTTCCGCGTGCGTAAAAGGGAGGGAGGGATCCCTGGCGGCCAACAGTGCCGGCGTCCGGCCCTGCGTCCTCAGTGCCCAGAACCGAACGGGCCCGGGTGTAGGGCAGAGCGTTCCGGGGTGGGGGGTGGGCCCTTACCTCCGTAGTAGGTGTACGGAGTGGACCCCAACATCTCAGACTCGTCCAAGCGGCCGCCCAGCGGACGCATGCGCCGCGGACTCCGGAAGAAGGCGTGTCTCCGGGCGCCCAGTGCGCTCAGCTGTTTCATCCTGCGTTCTTTGGACCTCCGGTTCTGGAACCACACCTGGGACAGGGCGGGAATTGTGAGCTCAGGTCCGGGGTGCCTTCCCCTCCCTGCCCAGGCCGCCCCTTCTGGGTCCTATCGCCTCCTGCGCACCAAGACTGCCCAGAGGCGGGGGCCGGGCGGATTAGGCCGGGAGAGGTGGAGAGGGGCTTCGGAGAACCAGCCAAGGGTGAAGGATTTCGCGGACCCGTGGGGCGACTCATAAAGACTTGGGCTTCCTGGTCCTCGGCCCGCCCTCGGCCTGACGGCTTTATAAAGGCCTCCCGCCCGGCACGGCTCTAGTCCCGGCCCCTCGGCTCCCCAGCCGGGTTCTGGCGGTTTGTCTGTCTGCCGCTGCACCGGCGCAGGGAGGGGGGCGCGGAAAGAACCTTGCCCCTTTCTCTGCTCCGACAAATGGGAGGAAAGGAGGGGTACCCCGGCGAGGCTTAAAACTCTCTTTGAACGGGGAGGGGGCGGGATTCCGAGGGATGAGTGACCCGCCCAAGATCGCACCGTCAGGAGGACCGCAGGGCTATGCGGAATCTTTTGGTTAGAAGTCTGACCGGCGGGCCCTGACGTCGGGCACAGTCTGCCCTTCGGCCGACCCGAACTCGGCGCGCTCTTAGCCAAGGAGGCTGGGTGGGAGGCTCCTCTGAGCTCCCCGGCTGCCGGGCTCAGCCGGCCTGCGGAAGGGTGACCCGGGCCCGGCCGCACCTGGATGACGCGCATGTTGAGGCCGGTCTCCTGTGCCAGCTGTTCGCGGATGTGGCGCGTGGGCTTGGGCGTGGCGGCAAAGGCGGCCTTGAGCGTCTCCAGCTGCTTGGCTTTGATGGTGGTGCGCGGGCCGCGCCGCTTCGTGCCCGAGTTCTGCTCCTCATTCTCGTTGTTGGCTGTCTCCTTGTCCGACGACGTCGAGTTGTCCGTCTCCTTGGGATCGTCCTGGAGCGGGTCCTGGAGGTCCGGGGACAAACTGCGGTCCGTACAGGATGACACTGCGGGCGGACGGGACGGGAAGAGGACAGCGGCGTCGGCGGCGGCCCAAGGTCTCTCCAGTCGGGTAGCCGGTTCCCGCCGACCCAGGCCCCCGCCATCCGCGCCCGGTTCCCTTCCGAGTCTCGCGACAGCCCCTCCCCCAGGGGCCCGGCGCCCGCCCACTCCCTCCAGGCGGGGCCGGGCCTACGGAGGGACCCTTCTCCAGCCCTCGCGGCTCTTTTCGGCTACTGCTTGGGTAAGGGGGAGGCACGCCCTCGGGGGGAGCCAGGCCTCCGTGGAGAGGGGACGTGAGGAGGCCACAGATGCCCTCTGGGCCTCAGATCTTCCTCCCCCATCTCTCCTTCCTCCAAACTCCAATTACCGTCCTCCCAGTGCCGCCTGAAATTACCAGGAGCTGAAAAGACTCAGAAGGGGCGGGAATTGTGTGACTCCAAACTGGGGGAGGAGGGCAACTTGGAAAAGGCCCTTCAATAGAAGGGGGGGGGGGGGAGAGCTGGTAGTCGTATCCTGTAGGACAGACTCCAAATGCTACCCCCTTTCCCCAGCCCCCCGCCCCCGCCCTTCCATTTGCCCTAGAAATGCCCGATGGGAGTGGAGAGCTCTGAGCCAGGCACAGAATGCACACAAGCGTCCAAGTGGAGAGTGCCAGGCTGGCTGCGGCGGGAGGGTCTTAGGGCCCGAGGCTGGGGGGGGGGGGGGGGGAGGAGGCCGCCTACCTGAGTTGAGGCTGCCCTCCTTGAGGCTGGAGGAGCTCAGGTAGTCGTCCTTGCACACGAACTTGTTCTCGTCGATGACGTAGAGCTCCTCGCCTGTGGACAGCTGCTTGTTGCACACCATGCAGGTGAAGCAGTTGAGGTGGAAGACTTTACTGCGGGCCTTGCGCACCAGGTCGCTGGGCGAGATGCCTTGCGCACAGCCCGCACACTTCGTGCCGAAGCGCCTGCACACAGAACATGTCCTGTCACCTTGGAGCAGCGCGGGTCCCGTCCTCTTGAGCCCCTGACCTCTTCCCACCCACCCTGGCCTCTGAGAGGTCCCCATTTCCACATCTGTCAAAGGAGACCCCAATTCTGTACTCTCTGGCTAGTGCGAGAGAGGTGAGACAAATGTCCTGGGCTGTTCTTGGGGCTGGGACGGTCACGCCCTGTTCGGGTTTATTCACCCTCCACAAGGTTTAGAGCAATGGGTGCAGCCTTCAGCCAAGCACAGACCCAGAGCACCCCAAGTTGCTCCCTGCATCCCTGCCAGATCTGCCTGGGCTTCTTGAGGCAAACTTGGCTGTCTGAGTTCTTTAACGTTTTAAGCCAGGCCAGCCAGGTTTGGGCCACTCCTTGGCTTTGCCTCCTGGATCCTGTCCAGTCTGCTGGGGCCCAGGTAAGGCCACTTGGCCTGGCTGGCAGATCCTAGCAATGGAGTGGGGAGCTCCTCTCCTGAGCTGGACCTGAGCAGGCGGGAAGGAACCTTTTGCTGATTCCCAGTGCCACCAGCACCAGAGGCCTTCCAGTCCCCACTTTGGGACCCGCGGGAGCTAGTTGGCCCTGTGGACAGCAGGGCTTTGGAACGGTGGACTCCAGAGCAGGGATTGAGTCTCCAACCCCCCAAAATGTCCGGCCCTGGCAGGCGCCGGGAGAATGTGACCAGCAGGCAATCCTAAACCTGCAAGGCCGGTACACGGGATCTCTCAAATTCCCCCTTTCCCGAGTTCTTGATCTAAATCCCTTTCTTTCTTCCTTGAGCGCTTGGAGAAGGCCAGCCTCCCCCCAGATGGGTGTGCAGGCCAGCACTGGGAGGGGTGAGGTGCAGGTTGAGGGGGAGAGCGAGGGCCCAGCACCTTGGGGCCCCACACCTACTCATACCCATGTCTCTAAACAAGGCGAATTTGGGTGACGTTGATGTAGTGAGGGCATTAGAAGCCATAAGTCACTTTTGGCCTTATCCGGCAGCGTAATTGGCCATATGCACCTTATCAAAAATCATTAGGCACTTTGCAAGCATCGCCACATTAGGGGCCTCAGGCCTCTGGAGCCAGGGAGTTTACACGTGTAAAGCCGTGGCTGACATTTTCTCCTATTCAAATTACCTAGTGCCCAGCCTTTCGGGCCGGTGAGCAGCCTTTCTCCACGGTGTTAATCACGCCCCGCTTCCCTCGGTGCCCGGAATTCACAGGCACAAAGCCGGCTCCGGGCGCCTGGCGGAAGCAGGCAGGGCTGAACTGCCAGAAAACCCACAGCCTTCCAGGCTATCCCTTGGTGTTTCCCAGGTGGGGAAACTGAGGCCCAGAAAAGTGCTCTGCCCTGGCTCACCTGAGGGCCCCTATGGGCAGCAAGGGAAGGTGACACATCGCAGACTGGACCCTGGAGGTCCTGATTCTCAGCTTCGATTTCGTTTGTACATTTCAAGACAGGAGAAAATGTGTAAGGAGTTGGGGGGGGGGGCAAGGAGGAGAAGGTTCCCTCCCCCCCTCATCAGAAGAGATCTTCCTGGCTGAGCCCCCTCGGAGTTGGGGAAGTTTCTGTTTGTCCAGGAGGGCTCTGGGGCCCTGGCCTGCCGGGAGGTCAGCCCCCTGGGATCCCAAACTCTGCCCGGTGGGAGAAGCCTCCAGCAGCCCCTAACTTAGGCAAAAATTCTTCCTCTCTCAGAACCGGGCTTGAACTTCCCCCCTGGGGTCGCAGCTGCGGGGAAGGGGCAGAGACGCGTGGGGAGCAAGTTTGTTAGGGCTTCTCCGCCCTGCCCCACCGCGGTTCCAAGCCGGCCTGGAGGAGCGAACTAGAGCCAGCAAAGCAGCGTTCTTCTTACTCCGCCCGGGCTCGGGCGCTTTCCCGGACCAAGGACAGGACGAGAGCAGCGGGCTGCCCCGCTTCCCATTTAAGCTTGTGAGCCCAGGAGGTTGGTTTCGCGGTCTCCCCTTCCCGGGCGCCCCAACGGAGCGCGCAGGGCGGGCGCGCAGGCGGCAGGGCGGCGCGGCCTCTTACCTGAAGAAGTCATTTTTGCAGTAGAGCTTGCCGTCGCGCGAGAAGCACTTCTCCGAGAGGTTGGTCTTACACTCGCAGCACTGAACGCATTTGATGTGCCACGCGCGGTCCAGCACGTTCAGCAGAAAGCGGTCGAGGATGGGCCGCTCGCAGCCGGCACAGTGCACCATCATAGCGCCCTGGCGGCTCGGGCCGCCCTGCCCTCCCTTTGGGCCCCCGGCCCTCGGGCCCCCGGGCCCCGCTGCTGCGCTCCGCCTCTTATCTCGGCCGCCGCCGGGCGAGTCCGGTCCGGACCAAGACTCAGCCGGTCAAGTCCTTGGGTGATCGCTGTCCTGGCGCTGGGCTGCCCGGGGTGGGGTGGGGAAGGGTGGCTTTCACAGCCTCATGCCCCGGGCCGCGCGCCCCAGTGCTTGTTCCGGGCTCCCCCAGGTGTCTTGGGTGGCTAATGGCCTCGGCGCTGCGGAGCGGCTTTCCCCGGTGGCGGAGGCGCCGGCACTTTCCCCCACTTTCAAGCGGTCCCGATCCTCATCTTTGTCTGGCCGCCGCCTAATTCGCGCATCCTTATTCAGATTTGGTGACGTGGCGCGGCACGTAGGGGGCCCGGCGGCCAATGGGCGCGCGGTGGCCATGGCAACCTCTTAAATTTATAGCATATCTAAATTGGCTACAGCGTTGCGGTCCGGACAGAGCAAAAAAAACAAGGCATCAGTATTGTTGAGTATTAGCTTGTACCTGGTTCGGAGGCTAAGTAAGTATTTACCTTCCAGTTTGGGGCTGGGGGCGGGGGCCGCGCGATCTGAAAACTGCATCTCCCTTCCTCTGTCTTCTCACCAGCATCTGGGGGCCAGGATTCCAGGTCCTAGTGGGAGAGGGACCCCTGCCCCGTTCGCCATCCCCGGAACTTGCAGAAGTTACCCGAGGCCCGGAGCGCGCTCTACGTCCGCCTCTTCTTCCCTAGTCCAGCCTGCTCAAATTAGACTCCCTCATCCCCGCGTCCCTGGGGTCTGCGCCCTGGAGCTGGGACAGCGCGGTTCACGGGGCTCCCAGAGCCGGGCCGTCTTCTTTTGTCATACACCGAGCTGGGGCCCAGCCCGGCCTTTCTCATGGACACAGAGAGCGAGGGCGCGGGAGAGCGCGAGAGAGCTCGCGAGCAAGCGAGCGTGAGCACTAGCCGCGCCGTTTGGGTCTTTCTTTCCCCGTGCAGGCCCAGGCCCAAGTTGGGGGAGGGTGTCATCTGGCCTGGTCCGGGACCCCGGAGTTTCAGGCCTGAGCGCGCGGCCCACGGGGCTCTGGGGGAGAAGTGGGGAGGAGGAGGTCAAGGCAGACGGGTCTTTCTGAAGCCTGATCAGAGGTGGTGTTCACCACGTCTCTCCTTTCCTCGACGCACCTTCCAGATCCCGGGTCAGCCAGTCAGGGCACCGTGGTGAGTGGGTCGCACTGCCGACGCGAGGAACGCTAGAGATTGCCTGGGTGCTGCTTACCCAGGCGGCGCGCGCGGGCTGTGTGTCCAAGTTCCAATCTCCGTAGGACGCAGGAACAGCGGCTCATCTCTGGGGAGCTGAGGGTCTGGGGAACGTGTGTGTGGGAGTGCTCGCAGGTGTGTGTGAAGAGGGAGATGGGGGTCTGGGGGACCTGGGGGACGGAGGGAGAAGACAGGCCTCCTTTCCCAAGGGGCCCACCTGGCGAAGGGGCACTCCAAGTTTGGGAAGCCGGGAAGGCTCCGCAGGATTTTTCCATCCCGCTCACGGAAAGTCTCAAGTCTCGGCTGCCCGCTGACCGGGTAGGTCGGTCCTGAGTGGGAGCCAGAGAAGTGTGTTTGTGCCAAGCCTTGGCTGTGAATGTGTGTTTGGGTGCATTTACTGAGTTTGTTAGTGTGTATTTGCTGTTTGAGAATTGCATTTTTGCCTCTGTTTATAGATAGTAATCAATCATGTGAGTACATTTTGATATGTGTCTTTTTTGGTGTGAATTTGTGTGTTTGTATTTGTGTATAGTCCTGCTGTGTATTTGTCTGTGTACTCTTATTTTTGTTGGTCTGTGTATAGGCGTGTATGCTTACTTTTGGACACTCGAATGTGAGGGTGTTTGCATGCGTGAGTGGTGTGCCTCTGTGTACAATTATTGTGTACGTGTGTACTAACATTGATGTATAAGTGGACTTTAAAAAAATCTGAATGTGTGTGTTTGTGTGTGGGTGACCGTGTGCATGCTTGAGATCCCGTGTGGATGTGACTGAGCTGGGTTGAGTGTGTTTGTGAGTGCAGAATTTTGTGGATCTGTGTTTGTGTGCCTGCATGGGATAGCAGTGTTTTTGTTTATGTGACTCCTGGAGGTTTTGGGGGGTATGTTGTGTGTGTACTCCACAATTACCTTTGTGGATTTGGCAGGGGCAGGATTTCTGGATGCCTGTAATGGGGCATTTGTTGGAGGCACAGAGATGCTTACTTCTCTCTCTGTTCCTGTCTAGGCCTAGTGCTGTCCCCCACAGTCTCTAGGGGAGATGATCTGGCTGGGGACAGGAAATTGACAAATGCTGGTCACCAAGTGGGACACTGACCCACAGCTGGGCTTCTGAAAAGAAGTCCCCAAATCGGGTAGCTTGTGCCTGATGGTGCTGTTATTCCATCCTCTGGCTTGCCCAGGGACAGGTGTCTACACCACATAGTGTAGCAGTGTGGCTGGTTAGAGCCTGGCTCGGCCCGGCACAAGCAGACTGCATCTCGCCTGGTCCTCCAGGCCCAGCTGGGAGAGGTCCAAGAGCCCCCAAATGAAACCGTGGTTTCTCAAGCACCTGGCTCTGCCCTCCTGGGGCACTAGGAGCCCTGAGCCCCAGTGGGGCAGGGTCCGAGAGAACCAAGAACGCAGGAGGAGAGAGGTACAAGGCTGCAAGTGGAGGCCAATTGGGTTGCCTACTCGCCCTTTGTTTCACGGGGGTTTCTCTCTCCCGCGTTCTCTGCACGTCTGTTTTCCTTTCTGTCTCCTTTTCTTTCTAATGTTCAGCCTCTGTTCTCTTTCTGTTTCTCTTTCCCTCTATTTCTCCATCACTTTCCTCCTTGATTTCACTGTTTTTATTTCCCTCCCTCTGCCTCTCTGCTGGGCGTCCAAACCCAGCACCCGGCTCAACGCTGCAATGAACAATTCTCATCGTGCACCATACAGCTATCGGGGTGCTGAAAGACATACAGTCATTAAAAGCCCCCATCTGACAGCCTCCCCCCTGCTCTGGACTAGGTGCCCCTCCATGCCCTCCTCTAACACCCCCCCCACCCCGGTCCTCCCCGAGAGAGCCAGGTTGCTGTGTCTTCCCAGCCCTGGCTTTGCCAACCCTGCCTGGCTGCTGGGGGCTGTGTACTGGGTTCCATGTGGGACAAATCCACCCACCCCCACCTCCCGGGTGTGCTTAAATGCCAAGGCACAGCCAGGCCCCAGCAGGTGTGGTACCAAGCCAGGGAGGTAGCAGGAGTTGGGGACAGTTTCAGAGAGCAGCTCTGGTTCTTCCCGAGCCTGGATGTTGTACGGGTGCTGAATGCTGGGTTGCAGGAGATGAGGGCTCTGCTTCCAGAAGCTCCGGGCTGGCCTTCTGCCTCCTATAGCTGAGTTCACCCATCCTGTCCAGGTCACAGCCCCCCTGAAGTCGCCCTGGGAGCCTCAGCCCAGCCCAGCCCCAGTCCAAAACCTCCATGCCTCAGCCCAGCTGCAGGAAGGCCTGCTTGGCCTTTGCCAGCCCTCCACCTTCCAGGGCGTGCAGCATCCGAAAAACGCCAGCAGACCAACAATTAGACGAATTATCCCGCCCTAACAGCGCTAACAGATGGCGACCAGGCAGCGAAATCCCCTCCTATATGTAACTAATAAACCGCTTGTGTCTTAACAGGGTAATGCATGGAGACGCAATGTCACTTATACAAGATGTTGATGGAATTTACTATATAAAAATCTTCCTCCTAGACTAAAGAGTATCAACATTACAACTCGACAGACGGCGGCGGGATAAGTAAAACAGACAAAAGACAAACAAGATAATAATCTGTTTCCAATCACTTAAGCCCTGTAGAGTTAGTAATATGCGGTTTGCATATTCCCCCTTGAGTTCGGTAATTAATTACCGGCGAAGAGGCACACACCCGCCCGGGGTGGGAGTTTTGAGGCGCGCTGAGCTGGGGCTTGGGGGGCGTCTTTCCTGTCTTCTCCAGCCCCGCACGCAGGGCAGCGGCCGGAATGGGGACTCTTCGGGGCATCTGGAGCTGACCTACCCCTCAGGCTAAAGAGAATTTTCAGTTGCACCTCCCTACTCCTCACTGGAAACTCTCTTGCCCGGGGTGGGGGGCGTGGTGGTGGTTCTGCAGCCCAGCAGGAACGTGAGGGCTTTTCTGGCGGCCAGAGTATCTCCCTTCGCCCCTCTGAAGGCATCCCCTCCCTTTGAATGGGCCGGACTGGCTTGCTTTCTTGGGGAACGCGCGCTCTGAGGAAACCCGAGGGGTGCGCCCCTCGTCCTCTCCTCCGCGTGGTATCTTGGGCGGCGCAGCGGGTCCTCTCCCGACTTCGATCATTACCTCCCTCCAACCCCCCAGCCAAACGCATTCTCCTCAACTCCCCCCCCCACCCCGCCCCCAAGAGCCAGCGCGGCTTTAACATTAAACAAACGCAGCGAGCGCCTCAGAGCTGCGCTCTCGGCCGGGTCTGCGCGGCGGCGGCGGCGTTACAAATTGTAAATTTAAATTGCTCGCCGGATTCATTACCTCCCCTCTTTGATTTCAGCCAGCCGTGAAAAATTATACTGGTGTACCACTGAGAAACTGTTTTGCCGCAAAGAGCCCGCGCCTAATCACTGGCTTTCTCCCTCCGACAAAAGTGTAATTATTTTGTTTGGGGTGTAAATATAGGCCGCGCCGCGCACACACACTCAGCGTCCCGCCGCGCCGCCGCGCACTGCCCGCCACCGCGCGGAGTCGGCCCCCGAGTAGGAGCGAGCGTGGAGGCTAGGCCCTGCCGCCCGGAGGCCGGAGAAGGGCGGCTGGTTTGGCGCTCCGGCGAGACCCAGAGAGCCGAGCCGGCAGGCCAGGTCCCCAGCCCCTGTCCTGTTCGAGTTTGTCCGATGACGCCCAGAACGTGTGCGCCCTGGCTGGCCTGGGTGGACGCGGGTGGGGCGTGATGCGTGGGTCAGGGCTCGGGC